AAATATTGATCTTTATCTGCTATAATATTTAAACCATTCAAGATATAGAAGTTTTTGATATTGGTTGGGTTTATGTATTGATTTTGAATCAATTAGTATTGATATTTTTCAAGCTGTAACATTTATATCGTAATTTTTAGACCCTATTATAATTTCAGTCAGAAGCTTAAAACTCAGTGAAATAATCATTTCCGACCCTATAAACCATATATATTCTTGATCAGCATCAACAGACGAATCGAAATAACTATGTCCGGCCATAATTTATTTTTTTCAAAATTAAAAAAAAAAAAATTAAGGGGTTACATCATTAAAATTGAAAAAAAAAATTAAAAAAATTTAATTTTTTTAAATTTTAAATTGAGTATGCCGATTAATTAACCTTCTAAAAACTAACATAGGAACGATTTCTAAATTGAATTTAATGCATTTTTGGCTAAGTTATGAGATTTTGAAACTTTCATGTGTCCCTAAAATTGTCATATAAAAATATCAATATATGTATATCATTCAAAGATAAAATTCACCCTTTTTAAGTTTCAAAGATTAAAGAATTATGTTTAATAAAATAGAGCTAGCTCCACTGTGCCATGCCATTACTTCGGACTCGGCTTGAGGCACGGGTGCGGGTTCTACTCGGATTCGAACTCGGGCTCGGGTTGTCGATATCCCCTTCTCCCCCAGAATTGAGTCACCCCACGAGGAGGAGTGCACTATAAACGATAGACGACGACACCGACGACGCCTCGCATGGCCTGGCAATGGCGTTTTGGTGGGTGAGTGTGTGGCGTTGGTCATGGTTATAATTGTTCGCTCATCACTCCACTCCAGCAGCAATCATACCCTTGCCCCGAGTGACCACGCCTCGAATTTAACACGCCCATAAACATTGAAACGGAAGCCGACCACAATGAGACGTTGGCCACTGTCTCCACATTGTGGGGCCCTCTGACTGCTCCCTGATTCCTGCACAGAGAAAACATGATCTGATCTTTGGGAATAAAGATCATCTCAGATTAAATACGAATCTCTACATGAAGTACTATCATATCTAAAAGAAAATCAATTTAAGATAAGAATTATTTCAAAATTGTATCAAATTTTCTCATTTTAATTCCTCGATTATCGATTTATTCTCTCAGTGTGTCTGGCGCTCGTCTCCAAAGCTCGAGGGAAACATTCAGACTGCACGCATGCGCAGCTGCCCAAAAACTCATTGAACTGTAAACAGAGAACTAGCAAACATATTCCCTTCTGTGGGTCAAATTTTTAATGGAAAATATTTTAAAGTTAAACCAACTCCAGTGGCAATACTACCCCTTTTCAGAGTAAGTAGATTGGTGAATTAAAGAATTCAAGAAAGGAGAAGCTTTCCTTTAAGGATCTACATTTTTAGGAATTACTTTTTATATCTATAGGTGTACGTATTTATTGAAAAAAGATCAACTGAAAACTTCATGGACAGCTCGACTGCGTCCGTTAGTAATGATGACAATGGTGACGACAGTGCCACACCCCCGCTTATGGAGCGAGGGATGAGACCAGACCAGACCAAACCACACGGGATCCAAATTGAAGTTGCTATTGTGCTATATTTTTGTGCCCCGTTTGGCCAATAAATTATGCTTCATTTGGAATTGGGTTAAGTTGTGAAGTCGGAGAAGTCAGGGGAGCAGCAGATTAGTGGAGTGCCAGCTGCTTGGGCAGCTCTTTGGGGGCGTGCCTGATTGCTTTTCAGGCAAGAGATCTTCCGTAAAACACACTCTCCCTAGCTATTTGTATATACTTTCCATTTTTCGTCCCCTCCTCTAAGCCTGCAGTTATTTATTTATATATCTGTTAGATGTGTTTATTTATCAGGTAACTGATCAGAAGCATTTAACCAACTGGCGAAATATGTGAATATAGATATTCGCGTATTGCCTCGCATTGTTTACTGACTCTTAGTCGGCCACTTATTAATTGCTCATTGAGCCGCAAAACTCACACAACCCAGGAGGGGCTGATAGTCCCCTAGGTTGGGGGTTACCTCACATCTGAATCGATCTGAACGAGTATTGTGTGACTAATAAGCAACTGCAGATCGTTCTGACCTAAGCCACTGAGAGATCGTGGCTATAACTTCAGGGGAATTTCATTAAGTTTTGTATTAATTATTGTTGTGACTGACATCTGTGTGTTCTCTAAATTGGTCTTTGAATTTAACGGTTCAAATCAGCTATAAGTTTTTTGTAAGTAAACACTTACTTACTTACACAAAGTATCCTTTTTACAGGATGATCAAGGCAAAAATATTTCTGTGGTATTAATAGCAATATTAAAACAGATGAAATTAAGTTGCCCGCAAGCCAAGGTACGCAACTTAAATAATAAATAATTATCCATAATATAAATAAGCTCAAGCCAGACACAAATAAGTTCTCATATTTTATCACATTGCATTTAAGGCTGCGCCAGCATTTACAAAGGGATTTGGAGCTCAAATTTCTTTAATAACATTTACGGAATAAGCTTTTATAGCATACTTTGCCAATTTATTTGATTACTTATTTAAAAAGAGCCTTCTTTTGGAACCTATTAAAAGGATTTGAAGCAAGTAGCAATGTCTGTTTTACTGTAAGTCACTTTCAAAGTTAAAAGACTCATAACTCAGCAAAAAATGCATTAAATTCAATTCAGAAATCGTTCCTATGTCACTTTTTATTAGGGTAATAAATCTGCATACTCAATTTAAAATGTAAATAAAATCAATTTTTTACCAATTTTTGACAATTTTAACGATGTAACCCCTTTCATTTTTTTGAAAAAAAATTTAAAATTTTGTAAAAAAAAATTTAAAATTTTGTAAAAAAAAATTTAAAATTTTGTAAAAAAAAATTTTTTCCGTTGGAGATAGCTAGAAAGATAGGCGATATCGATGCTGATCAAGAATATATATGATTTATGGGTTCGGAAATGATTCCTTCAACAGGTTTTAAGCTTCTGAATAAATTTATTATACCTTTGCAAGAGGGTATCAAAATATAAATCCACAAATAAAAAATTGCTAGTTTAGGTAACATATAACCGAGTTAATGACTACTAGACAAACTGCAAAACTCCCACGGCTCATTTTTGGGCGGAGGAGGACCAATGAAGCGCGAAAAATTTGTTTAATTGAAATGCAATTAAATGGCTCAAATCGGAATCGGAATTGAAATTGACAACAAACTCGAGATCTTGAGAGGCGCCGCCGCCGTAGCAGAGATTAGGATTAAGATTAAGGTCAAGTCAGCTAGGTAATGCATGGAGCTGCAGTTCCTCAATCAACGTTTTGTGGTCGTTTCGGCGCGATAAATGCATTTTTGACAACGCAACGCCGTACGGCCAATTAGACAATAAAACAGTGGAGATTGGACGCCAAGTACTACTAGCCTTGATGGCCGTGTGGATAGCTGGTTGCTTAGTTTGGATTGCTTTTGTGTTCGATGTGTTTGGCGTTTTGGAAAATTAGCCAACAGCCTTCGATGCGGCTTTTAATACCAATTAATCCCACACTCGCACACACTACTAGAGGGGGCACTCAAGCAGGACCGCCGCCAAAATCAAAACACAGGCAAAACCAAAACTAAAACCCAAGTGAACTGAACTGAATTGAACTCAAGTGCATTAATCCAAAGACAATGACGCATTAATGCAATTTTTCAGGCCAGGTGGATTTGGCCTAGTCTTGGTTGAAGACCTTCGTCAAGTGCAGGTGGAGCTACCGACTGATGGCCACCGGTGCGTCATGAACTAGAGAGGGGCCATCCAGGGGTAGTTGGCACCACATTAATTGTTTTTTGCCACACCAAAATTAAAGCTATTTATTGCTTCAGAATTAGTTTAGCCACGGCTCTCGACTGATTTTAGAAAGAAACACGAAGAAAAATAAATAATTATATAAAATGCTATGGATATTGCAAGCGAGACTATCGTTTGAGATTCAAAAACAAATTACTATCCAAGTATCTATTGGTTATACATTTAGGAAAACTATTAATTGTATTCCATTTATTTCCATTTTAGTTGTAGAAAACCAACATATGCATCGCCAGCGGAAACATCTTTGGTTATTCTTTTTGTTAAGCTTGTAATATCCAATATGTAATTTCTACAATTTTTCAATAATAATCTATGTTTAAAAAACTCATAACTAAGCCAAAAATCACTTAATTTTAATTTGGAAAGCAGATTTGTGTTAGTTTTTAAAAGATTAATAAATCTGCATACTCAATTTGAAATTTCGAAATTTAAAATTTTTTGGTAATTTTTTTTAAATTTAAACGATGTAACCCCTTAAATTTTGTTGAAAATTTTGAAAAAAATTAAATTTGGCCGTTTATAGCTAGATCGATTGGCCTGTTCATGCTGATCAAGAATATATATGGTTTATAGGGTCAGAAATGACTCCTTCACGTCGTTACAAGCTTTTGACTAAAAATTATAACACCCTGTAAGGGTATAAAAATATGCCAAAAAGAGTGAATTTTTCGACAAATAATATTTTAAGTTACTTTAAATTAGTATTGTATAATTTTATAAATTGAAAATAACCTAGTTTACGCGATAGCCATAGTTATTCAGATTGTAATGGTCTAATATCTATATATTATAATATATAATCTTGTTGACCATGACAGTTTGCTTTTACGTGAAGTAAAATTGACAATATTTCAATTTAGTGAAACACGTCTAAATATCCCTCATAATTTACTTATTAAAAATAACTAAAGTTTTAAAGCTTAAGCTCTTTTTATGAAAATTGTTTAAACAACGGTCGTCACATGGGTCCAACTCTCTTACTTGTACCTTTACTTACTATATTCAAGAGTAATAGTACCCTAGCCTGCCTAAATTTATTTTAGTTTAAGAGAAATCTTTAAATTCTCCAAACCATATCTTAATATAGTTAATAGACAAGAACCTATCCCTCCACCTTATTTTAAAATTAAATAAAACCAGGTCAAAGCTGTACTTACCTCAGCAAAATGGTCAATTGTAGGTCATGGCCCAAGCGCTCGAGAGCAGGAACTCCCTCCACTCGCAGTATATTGATTTTCTCGCGCAGAGAACGGGACACAGTGTGCTGGCCCTGACGCTCCCGCAGGATCTCCAGGATGTTGGGCTGGCGCAGAAAGGCAATGACCTGGAGATACCATACAAAAGATAAGTACATTTTTTCTAATAATATGTAGATTTTGAATTCAAAACACTTACCTTTTCGTTGTAGGCAATGGGCACATCTTCGTAACCGGCTGCAGTGGCTCCTGGCATTCCGGCAGTTGTTCCGCCCGCTGCTGCTCCGCCCTGGCTAAGCGCACAAGCAATGGCCGCTGCTGTGGTGCAGTTGTGACCATGTCCATGATGGCTACTTCTCGAGGACGAGGCTATCGAAGGTCGGGGCGGTGGCAAAGGAGGTACTCCGGATACCGACGAGGATACTCCTGGACTGGCACTGATATGACCACTAGTAGCCGACAGGCAATTGCCGTCCACCAGGTCCGGGTAATAGTAGCCACCTACAACGCCTTGCTGTTGCTGCTGCTGCTGCTGCTGCTGCGGCGGCGGATGCTGCTGACGATGGCGAACCACCCGGGGACACTCCACCGGCAGGCGAGGATCCATAAACGAGGTGCGTCGATGCTGATGGTCAATGAAGAACTGCTTGCCCGACTGATCCAGCTTCGTTTCCCAGCAGGAAGGCAGCTCCCTGCCCAGCTGGGCAAAGGTATTGACCAACGCCACCAGATCCTTGTTGTACTGATATCGTTGAAAGCACTGGGGATCTCGTCTTATCCGCATTACCATGTGCTTTAGCGCCGCATTCCTGTTGTAGATAGCAAGCGCCGCTTCATTGGTATGCAGCAGCGAGTAGAAGTCGGAGCGGCAGAGCATCAGAATGGCAGGATGGATGGCCGAGGCGGCGACAGGAGGTGCAGCTGGAGCTGCTCCGGCAGCATTACCAGTGGCAGTGGTAATGGCATTCTCCGAAGACGGCAGATTGTACAGCTGAGCCGCCCTGCTCTCATTCGTAATGGTTCGCCGGATGCTCTGGTACCGCCTGTCCAGCTGCTGGCGGTGGTGCTGCTCACGGCCGGCGGGTCCCGCGCTGGGTGCCGCACCTGGTCGCTGCCAGGAGGTTGTTCGCGTCGTGTGATCAATATAAAAGATGCGCCCATGACTATCCATGCGGGCCTCCCAAGCGGGCGGTAGTGGTGGCTCTCCCGGTGCTCCAGCACCAGTGCTGGTTCCTGTCATCTGTCCCGCTCCGGGTTCCATTAGAGCTGCTCCTCCTGCAGTGGCTGCTGCTGATGCGGCCGCCGCCGCAGCTGCGGCTGCACTTCGTTCCGGAATAGAAGGCAGGCGCGTGCTACTGATATGCACCACTTCGTCGGAGGGTTCCGCTGTACTCGTTTCCTGGCCACCATCCTGCAGGTAGATATAATCCAATTGACTAGAGTTGGTGCCGCTTGGATCCGCTAGGATTCCGCCAGAGCTGGAGAGGCTGGAGTTGGCAGTGACGGCTTGAAGGCGGGCATGTCGCCGGGCGTGGTGAGTGGGCGTGGGCGGACATATTAAAGGCGATCCAGCAGGTCCTCCTGTGGTACCTGCTCCGGCTCCACCGCCCACACGCTTGAGCAGTCGCTGCTGCGGACGATGGCCGTGGAATGTGGGTGTTCCAGGCGCAACCGCCTGTTCCAGAACTGCTCCTCCCACGCCGCGGCCCCTGGTTGGTGAATGCTGCTCTGGACTCACGCTGAGGTCTAGGGGTGAGGCACTACGTGTGGAACAGCCAGAGGGAGGGCTTCTTTGGCGCTTTGGCGAGAGCAGGAGACGCGGGGAGGCTTGCTCTTCAGATGAACTAGCCTTGCCATTGGACAAAGCACGGGTGAGCGGACGGTGCTGGCGCAGATACGGGAACTGGAGGCTGTTCGGCGACGAGGATGAACCGGATCCAACCCCCGAGGAGCTGGGGAAGCTGGGGAACTCATAGTTCTGGTGTGCTGGCACCTTTTGCGCGCTGATCGTGTTAATGTAGCTATCCGGGCCAATCTTCTTCTTCAGCAGCGGCTTAAAGCGAACGGGTGGCGTGGCCAATGGAGAGCTGTTGGTACTGCCGCTTCCCTGGGCCATCTCCTCGCACTGGGCCAGTCGCTCGTCCGTGTCTAGGATGTCGAATTGAAAGACGTCGCCCTGCAGCTTTAGATCACGGCCAAGAGCACGCGGCGGCCAGGAGCGTTCCAGTGGACGATGATGAGGCGGCGACGGCTGACGGAGATGATGATGATGGTGCTGGGAATGTTGTTGCTGCTGTTGCTGGCGTCGCTGTACATGGGCACTGGCCTGGAGGGCAGCAGCGGCTCCCAATAGACTTTCCACGGCTGCCGCCTCCTCATCTTCATCCTCCTCCTCTGCCTCCGCTTCTTCGTCCACTTCGGCCATGCTAAGTGTGTCCACCATCTCAGCGGGCACTGTCTCGAAGCATTCGCGGGCTACCCAAAGATTGAAGCCGTCACCGTTGGCGTTGGACAGCGTTGAAGGCACTGCTCCCGCCGCTCCTGCCACTGCAGCCGCCGCTTTGGTCTTCTTTCTGGCTCCACTAAGTGGTGTGGAGCCGCCACTCTGGGGGGACAGGGTCCAGGACTTGCGACGGGCACCACCACCTACGCTACTGCCACCATCACTCCCAATGCTGCCATTGTATGAGTTGGTGGGCGAAAGCGTGGAGCTGTTGGCCGGCGTCTCACAAGACTTTGTTGAGAGCAGGGTCTGGTGGCGAGGCTCCTTGGGTTCCTTGGTCTCCTTCTGGGATTCAAGGGGTTTTTCATCTTTGGAAGCTGCAAGTAAACCAAAAGATGTAAGCCAAAAGATTCTCAACAATTACCTCACACATCTACTTACATTGATCACTTAGTTGGGTGAAGGTGCTTGTTCCCGGCTGTTCCTGCACTTCCGCCTCCTGATGCATTTCTAGTGGCTGCTGCTCCTCCACCTCGCTAACACTCACCTGGACATCATTGGCCAGAGTTAAGGCACTCTGGAAGGCCTGCTCCAGTTCGTCGCTTTCGTTGCCATTGCGCGCCTCGTAGAAGGCTTCCTTCGCGTCTTCCTCGTCGTCATCTTCTTCTTCTTCTTCCTCCTCCTCTTCATCTTCCTCTTCTTCAGCTCCCAAAGTAAGGGCAATGGAATCCGCTGCTGGTCCTGCTCTGTCCGACAGGCGACATGACGATGACGCTGCAAGAGGCGTCAAGGCCACTGGCGCTGCTGGCGGCTCCATCTGCAGGAAATCCCCGAGCGAATCAAGATGAGCTTCACGCTTCTCCGCCACTGTCCCCCAGCCCCGCGCTCCCTGCCAAGGGTTACAGTTACAGCTACAGTTACAGTTGCTCTACTTTCGCGTAATGGCGTCTCCAGCGTTTCGCGCTGAGCATTTTGACGCCACCTGCCATGGGCCCGGTGTCTGCCCCCGCGTATTACGTTCACTGTTCACTATGCATAGAGGCACTTGCTTTAGTTTATTAAAACTATTAATTTAACTATGATGATAATTAAAATATTTCTGGGCAGCTTAGCGAGTTTAGTGTGACTGAATGAGCATAGCTGAAAAATCCGCTAACGCTTGGCTCGCTGCAAAACGGTCACACTGGTCACGCCAGGGTTGTCGCCTTCTGCTCAATATGTCTTATTCCGTAGTATATATTTGCTAATTGTCATTAAATACTGTGGGAGTCGATGTATTGATTCTTATTAATTGAGTCTATGTTTGATTTCTCTCAATAATCTTCCATAACTTGTTAAATCACCTGCATTTTTAGACAAACCTATCGATAGGCAGCCAACAGGTTGCGCATCTCTAAGAAGTTTTTCTTCTTCTAGAAAACCTATCGAACGAATTGGAGATATAAATATTTTTTTGACGCCGCCAGAAAATAGGGAAAGAAAAGAACCGGCAGAGGAAAATAGAAACGGAAACGTAAAAAGTGAAACGTGAAATATAACGTAGAACGGAAAACAAATGGCGGAATTTTCGGTCGAGCGCGTGGAGGACAAACGGACGGTGAACGGGCGAACGGAGTACTACCTAAAATGGAAGGGGTACCCGCGCAGTGAGAACACTTGGGAGCCGGTGGAGAATCTGGACTGCCCGGATTTGATTGCAAACTTCGAGGAGTCGCTGAAGAACAACAAAAAGGAGACGAAGAAGCGCCTCTCGACATCGTCCACGCCAGAGTCGATCCGAAGCAAGCGCAAGAGCTTCCTCGAGGACGACACCGATGACCAGAAGAAACTGATCGGCTTTGAGCGCGGCCTGGAACCGTCAAAGATTTTGGGCGCCACCGACTCGTCCGGCCACCTCATGTTCCTCATGAAATGGAAAGGCAGCGACCACGCCGATTTGGTGCCTGCCAAGCTGGCAAATATTCGATGTCCCCAGGTGGTCATACAGTTCTATGAGGAGCGCCTGACCTGGCATACGGGCAACGGCAATGGCAATGGCAGCTCCGGCGGCAACACCGGCTTAGGCTCGGGCTCTGGCGCCGGTAGCGGTGTCGACACTGGCCCAGGCAGCGTCGGCACACCCGGCGGCAGCACGGCCGAAGGCGGTGATGACGAGGAGCCTGCCAGTCCTTCCGGGAGCATTAGCCAGGACCAAGAGACCGCCAAGCCGGAGGAGACCAGCGAATTAGGCAACGGCGAGGCCGATGACTAGTATGGATGGATGCGGATTCCCGTTCACACACACATAAGAAACATATATTTGGTAGCGTAGCATTTAAGCATAAAGATCGATTCATTTCAGGTCCTCGCGAAGATCCGGAACCGTGCAGTAGTAATACACACTTAATCATAGGTTTAAAATTTACATTTTATCCCCATTTTTTATTTTTTTTAATTATTTACCCCCGACTCCTCCAGGATTACAAGAAATTCGCAGTGTAATATACAAATATCCTTGTATGTATGTATGTGTCGGCGGAAGAGCGAATGGGGCAAAGACGAGAAGGTGGCCCAATCTTAGAATCTAGAATCTAGACTTAATATAAATTGTCTCCCCATAAACTAAGTTTTGATGATGTAAAAAATAAAGTTGCACATTTCCAAACAAAAATTTGCGATTTCGGCCTGAAAAGTAAGAGACGCCACCTGTGCGGTCACTTTTGGCTAGTTTGTAGCCAGAATATTTTTTTAGAACAGCAGAAGTTGATTTGGATACAGTTTCTTTAATAGAAAAATACTTTCCATAGAAACATTTATTTTAAATTTGAAAAAGAGAATAAAATCGTTTCGAAAGAAGTATTTATCAATTTTTAATATATTAAATCTTTAAGCATATTTCCCGCTGATTTTGCGGCATGTTCCAGCGATAACTGTCTGTAATCGATAAGTTTGATGGTCGATAGACGCCGGCAAAGTGTAAACTAAAAAACATTTGCAATAAAAAAGCAAATAAATTTTTTGTAAAGGGTGAAGAAGATGTCCCAATCGAGCTCCATGAAGCTGCTGGGCGCCCGCAACATGTCCTGCATTGTGGAGCGCATGGAGTGGAACAACAAGATGGACCTCATAGCCTATGGAACTGAGAAGGGTAAGCGGGGGAACGGGCGTCGTGAATTTAATAAATAATATGTTCAGGAATTCTCTTTACTTAAACAGGCGAGGTGATCATCCAACGGCTGAACTGGCAAAAGATCGTAACATTTCCCACGCCAGGCGAGGATGTGCGTGTGCGTTCGCTCAGCTGGCAAATGGACGAAACACTGCTGGCCGTTGGCTACAGCAATGGCAAGGTTGCACTTCTGGACGCCGAGAGCGAGACAATCATTTCGGGTCTGATCTACGAGGACGACATTAAGAAAGTGTACTTCAGCAAGGCCATTAACTCACAGGAGAGCCTAGGTGCATATCCAATATATATATATATTCCTGGGAATCTCTTTTTTCTCATTGTACAAACTTCCTTCAGCTACGTACACTTGTAATGCCAAGGACAAGCATCGGAGGTTCCTACCCAAGCTTCAGCCTCTGACCAATATCGATCCCTGCCTTAAAACACTGGATCAGAAGTCCTTCCCAAAGGGATCGCCATGCTTTCTGGTAGTGATAATGCGTAGCGGCAAGGTGCACCTCTTGCTATTGGGAGCCCTGCAGGCAGGCAGCATTGATCTCACCCAGCACATCCTGCATCCGGAGCAGTTCGATGTGTATGATGTGCGACTGAGCGGTGACTTTAATGCCATTTATGCCTTGCTGAGGGACGGACAGGAGCTCAAGGTGCTGCACTTCCACAACCAGGTGCTGCAGGAGTGCATGGCACCCATGCTGGAGCTGGCCACCCACTGCGCCCATATTCTGGAGACCAAGAAGTGAGTGTCATGACCGGGCTTTAGTTAAATTTGTAGTTACTCTTGCTATGACCAGCTACATCAACGACACGCAGCAGTGCTTGACGGAAGCCTGGGAAACGGTTCAAATCGAGATGGACAACAAGCTCACAAAGTATGCCAACTCCCAGCCATACGGCCTAATCTCGGCTCACTTTCTGGAGCTGCACGTATTCGGATTTGCCACATTGGAAGTGGAGGAATTTCTGTTCGAGTAAGTTTAATGGTTTCTACGCGGTTCTTCTGATTAAATTATCACCCCTTTTGCTCCCAATTGTAGGACGCTGTCGGAAAAGGGCTTTAAGAAGATCGCCAACTCAGTAGACCTTAGCCTGAGCAACTTGCAGGGTCTGGTTTTTAAGCAGTTGAACGGATCGGCCATCAACATGTTCTACTTTCTCAATACGATCGCGGGATTTGGTCGCATGTCGCACTTCTTTGAGGTACGATGAAAAGACACGGACTATCGACTTAATAATTAAATATATTCCTATTTTCCAGTCCCTCATCTCGCCGGATGTGGCCAACGAGGCGATGAGGGCATGCGGAGCCTTTGTGCTTAAAGTCCACGAACTGCAGCGAACCATTGACACGTTGGTGTACGATATGAAGCTCTTCCACGCCTGGATGATCTTTACGATACTCCGTTTGTCTCACCAAGAGATTCCAGATGATCTGGTCCTCACCGAGGATGAGAACATTGCAATGGCCGACTTTCTATGTGCCATGGAACCGGAGAACGAAGACCGCAGCGACGAAGAGGATGAAGATGCCAATATACTTTCCGCCACACCGCCACTGGCTCGAAGCAAATTCAACCTAGAGCGTGTGGGTCAGTATCTGGAGAACACATACTTGTCGCAGCCGTATCCCAAAGATCCTGGCCAGCTGTGGGAAGAAATGGTGGCCGAGAACGATTGCTTGAACAACTGCAACTTGTTCGTGCCTCATGACAAGAATCTCTCGCTGATACAGCAGCGGGACAAGATGTTCAATGCCATCGATGCAGTGTTCCACAAGCCTACCGAGAGTATTAGTGGCAGCTTTAAGCTGACCTCTGCGATAATATGCGGTGATTTACCACCAATGGAGCCCGGAGAGGGCCTAAAAGACCGTGATTTTGTGACCAGTAGTTATTACGTTAACGAATCCTCACGCTGTGATATGTTGGCGTGCACCATAAGCTGGCAGGAGGCCATGATCCTGGAGATTAGTCGTACCGGCGATTGCCTGGTGCGGTGCACAAGGGTGCAATTGCAGCCCGGCATCTTCACGGCCCCTCTGCATGAGGACTACTATCACCTGCGATTTGTCGACCTCCAGTTCTACAATGAATCCTCGCTCTCGATGCTGGCCCAGACCACAACCACTGTTCCCGGCATCCGGCCGCATAGCTACTTTGTACAATTCTCGCTGAGCGCTGCGAGAAATCAGTGCACCCAGCACCAGATGGGACAAGTGGTTAAGCTGAAGGATGCCACCGTCACGCACAGCATACACGACATTGCCGATGGCGCCTCCTTTAAGGGATTAGATGGAGTGTGCGAGATGCTTGCCATTTCGGGCAGCAGAAAAGTGGCCACTGTGCTCTCGGACCGGAAGCGTAAGATGACAATTTTCGAGATGGAAATCGAGGAGGAGGAGGACGACACTGAGATGTCGCAGGCCTCGTTTCTTGAGATCAGCAAGGAATCGGTGCTGGACAAAACGGAGACGTAGTGTGCATACAAATTCAGCAAAAACAATAAAAACACATTCAGAAAGTCTGACTATTCGTTATTTATCGATATCCGATAGAAAGTGTTGCAGCTGTATCGAATATACATATCGCCAGCCACTTGCCATCCCTAATAGCGTGCAACCACGAGAATATTTCCAAAATGCAGAAAATTAAAAAGAAAACAAAACAAAAGCTGCCTCCTACTCCGGCTCCTGTCGATATGGAAGTGGAGAATGAACCACAAGCAGAAGGCTCGGATGAGTCCAATTATCTATCCGCTGACGACGATGAAATGGACCTGGCAAACTTCAAAGTTAACCCCAGCAGCAGCTCCTCGGTTCCCTCCAAAAAACGCAAGAAGGGCATTATTTACATATCCAATATACCCAAGCACATGAATGTGACTCGCTTGAGGGAAATTCTGGGTGATTTTGGGAAAATCGGCAGGGTATATCTGCAGCCGGAGAAGCTATCAAGTAAGTTAAAAATGTGATCAATTATATATTGCATTGTGTACAAATTGATATTTACCACAGGCGAGAAGGCCAAGAAGAATAAACGGAAGCGCTACAACATTCACTTTACCGAGGGCTGGGTGGAGTTCGAGTCGAAGAGGGTGGCCAAGCAGATCGTCCCACTGTTAAACAACAAGCAGATCTCCACGAGAAAGAAGTCACAGTTTTACGATTCGCTGTGGAGCATGAAGTACTTGCCGCGTTTCAAATGGGTGCACCTCACTGAACGCATGAACTACGAGCAGGCAGTGCACAAGCAGCGCCTCCACACTGAGGTCTCACAGGCGCGCAAGGAGACTACGTTCTTCCAGAACAATCTCGACAAGAGCGAGTTGCTCAATAAGCAGGCCAAGAAGGCCAAAAAGGAGGAGAAGAAAGCAGCTGCCAAGGACGACTAGACGATTATATTTTATGTATGTACCTTAATAAGAAATATACCTTTATTAGGATTAATTTATCCAATGTATCTTCATCGTGTTTAGTGTTTATTAGCACTACTCCATGCCTAGAGCACAGTACGGAAAGGGAAAAGGCTTTATTTGGAACACACCTGTAGCCTATTATGCTTCATTTTGGAATAATATTTTTATCTCAGACACAGCTCGCTGCTCGGATGATTGTCGGATCGGTGTGTCAACTGCCTTTATAGATCCACACGTGCAATGAATTTTAATCAACGGCGCTGGCACAGAGGACCATAAAATGACATTATCTGCCAGAATTAAAACATTATTAAGATTTAACGATAGGAAGGAGGGGTCTGAAGTGGCGAATCCAGTAATAGATGTTTCCTATCGCTCAACCCAAAACCGAAATACAATTTGCGACCTAATCTCGAACAATTGGAGAAATTGAAAGAAGAAACAACAATGAGCCGACGAAAATAATTGCGATTAAAGTAAAGTAAAGTAAAACAAGACAGGAACAAACTTCAGACAGACTTGATTGCATTAATTTCAAATCGGAAAGCTGCTACTCTTTTTTATGTTAACAAATCTGCAAACTGAGTTTAAAAATTAAAATTTTTACAAATTTTTTAAAATTTTAACGATGTAACCCCTTACAAAATTTTTGTCAGACATAGCTAGATCGATTCGGCTGTTCATGCTGATCAAAACTATATATGATTTATAGGGTCGGAAATGACTCCTTCATTGATTAAAATTATAATACCTCCTGGTAGATTCTTGAAATCGACATTTTTATATATTTTTATGTTTGTTTCTTCTGTTTTTCAAAGGTTAACAAATCTGAATACAGAAAAATAATCTTTCTCTGCAAGGGTATAACAAAGGTATAAGCTAAATAATAATAGAAAATATTGCAATCGGCCAAGTAGCAAGCACATGTTGGACCGATAAAACCAACTCTTGAATATTTTAATTAACCGAATGTATAGATATGGCTATCTCAGTATTTTCGGACATCGAAGAGTTTGGGAATATAAAAGGCAGGTCCCCAAGTGGGATCCCAGCAAAAGTAAATCAGCCATGAGGAGTGTGATTATTGTGGTTTTGGCCCTCTGCTTGGCAACTGTGAGTAGAAGTTATCAAAAGAAAGGGACCTTTCAAACAAAATAGAGATTTTAAATCAATGAAAAATCGACCTAAATGCGTGGCACAATTATTTTTGAACGATACGTTTTTTTTGTATTAAAAGAAGGATTTATCTGTGTAACTTACCTACTCTCTCTCTCTCTCTCCTTCAGGTTTCAGCTGTGCCCGAAGATGAAATTCCACCTCCATCCTTTGAGGAGATGGCCAAGGAATTGGGCATTGATCTCAATATGGACGACTTTAACCTTGACTTAGATCTCGGCTTGGACTTGGGCTTGGACTTGGATTTAGATTTGGACATCGACATGGACTTTGACAAGGAGTTTGACTTGGATATGCCGGAAATTTCCGAAATGCCAAAGGATGGCAGCATGGATATCGATGACTTCGCTTTCGTGGACTCAATGGTGAAATTCTTCATAAACGAGTCCAAGGCTCTGGCCTGGTACATCGTGAGGCTTACAGAGCGTCAGCTTCTGAAGATCTTCATGTATCCGTATCGGCAGCTGCAGTTGCTGGCCGGCGACATTGAAAAGCGTGCGGTGGAGAGCGAAGAGTGCGTGGCCAGGGAGACGGTTCATGTGGCCGGTGTCCTCGAACGGGCCACCTTGGGCTTCGTGGTCTGTGGCCGCAATGCCGCCGTCAACTCTGTCAAAATTGTTCTTGATACCAAGCGTTCGGTTCTCCAGTTGACTCTGAATGGATATAGGATCATTAAGCAGTACAAGAACTGTAAAGGAATATCCAATAATGTCAGATACCGAATGTGCCGAAGCAAGCTGTATTTAATGGCAACCAAGTACGTTGTAGGAGCTCAAAAGTCAGTTCGTCATCTGATCGGACTCCGGCGCAGTGTTCCGGCAATTGCCACCGATGCCACCGCCTGCACCACACAGGCCACCGATAATGCAATCCAAGGATTCGCCGATATTAATGCCAGTATCGACAGGTGCATTGATACCATGCTGAACTAAGATGACTTATATTTAAATATGTTACCTGTAACGAAATATATGCAAAATCAAAATTAGTTGTTTTGTTCTTCAGTGAGTTGTTCACTAAGTTGTTAAGTATAAGTTTGTTTACTTTTTACCTGAGTTGCCTTACTAAGTCGTATATATAGTTTTAGTTCATCCACTCGGGTTTTTACTTGTTTATTCCATTGTATTCATTCATACTTTACTCAGTTTCTCTGTATCCATTAAAAAACTGTTTTTCTTTTAGTTTTTCGAGTTATTACCTTTATTTAAATTTGGTTTCATTATCGTTCCTCTTGTTCAAATACAATAAATAAACATTTAAACTATTTAGTGGTATGTATATATGTATATATATATGCATATATATATATATAAATCGTTTGTTTTTTTTTTGTTAAATATTTTAAATAATTGTATATATATTGTTTTCCATGGGCTTTTCTTTGATGCCCCTCCACTTCACTTTTTAATTTTCTTCGATTTTATAATCGGTTCTCATCATACCGAAAGTTTGTAATTAGTTTTTTGTTTTTAAGGTTGTTTGAAAGAAACTTTTTTTTTTTTTGTGTTTTTGTTATATAAGTAAATTGCTGTGTTTGGGCTTACGTTCATCAAATATCGTCTATATATATGTATATATATATCTGGTTGGTGTATATATCGTACTATACATTACGCACTTGCATTTCGGTATAATGTATAAGTAAAAGTAGCTTGTTTTGGTTTACATAAACTCTAATGTATAAATTGTTTTCTACTCAAGTATGATGCACATACAAATATAACTAGGTTCGCTTGTATTGGTATAGCTTCTGTATATGTATATGTTTGTGGGGTGTTAGGTGTGGGTGTGGGCGTGGGTGTTATGTGAGTGTGTGTCAGCTGTACATATGTAGAATGTATGTACCCTTTACCAATAATTAGTTAAACTGCAGCTAGTATATGTATTTGCCATTCTAACAATGTTGTTTCTTGTACCTTACACACACACTAACTTCGATTTTCTTCGTAATTAATACATTGGAGTTTCTCATCTTCCATTTCTCATTTTCATTAGCAGCTTTTTCTCGGGCTTTTCTCTTGCATCCTTCCTTTAATTATATCCATTTATTAGTCACAGATGTTTTTTTAGGCGAATCTTTTTTCCTTCTCGTTTTGCAAAATTTTCATTAATGTATTCAGCGTGTTGTATATTATTATTAATATTTAATTCGATTCTCTTTATAGTAAAAAAAACAAAATACAAGTAAAAGGCAATTTTTGTTAGTATGTTGGTTGTTTTTCATTTTGTGTTTTCTTTGTTTTTGTTTTTTTTAAAGATTTTTTTTTCTTGGTTTTGTTTTTGTTTGAAAAAATTTGTGCTTAATTTTGTAGAAATTTTGGTTTGTTCGCCTGCATTTTTTCTTTTGCTTTTTCAGTTAAAACAAAAAAGTGTTAAGATATTTTCTTGTTGGGCTTTGTTGATTTTTTCTTGGGTTTTTTTTTTTTAATTTTAATTATGTATAATATTTAGTTCAATAAATTCGTTACGACACATGGACTAAGACACAGCAAAAAATATTCATGCTTAATTTAGATTCAGTTTCGTGAGTTTTTCTTTTTTTTTTTGTTTTCATTTTCTTTTTTTCCTTCAATTGTATTAACCGTCTGCTTATCCTCATTCTGTTGTTGTTCTGGCTTCAATTGTTGTAAATATTTGTCAATAATAAATAATGAAACAGCAGTATTATTATTATTAATTTTTTGTTTTGAAATAGGAGTCAAGACAGGACAGTTCCACATATCGCGTCGTGCCAGCTTCCAAAATGTTTGTAGTTATTTTCTCATATTAGTTTCGTACTAACAGTAGTAACTGAATAACATGCACTGGATAATTTCTAAATAATTTAGTACTTTTCGTGAGTTTTTCTCGTCGGTATTCGGTTTTGATATGTTCGCTTCAAATGCGTATCATGAAAATACATTTGCTTTGCTGACTCTGTCTCTGATTCTGATTCTGATTACGATTCTGACTCTGATTCTGATTTTGACTCTTATTCTGCAATACAACTCCGTTTAAAAATATACAGTAGAACAAGGCTACTACATAAGTACATGGGTATATTCTATATATGTATGTATATATATATAAGTGTGTGTATATATCTGCAGTAGGTATATAGACTAAATAGGGAAATTACATATCATTTTGTGGCTTTTTGGGCGTGGTAATTCCTTATTTTTTTAAGCGCAAGAAATTCCATCTCCATCCTCCACCATCTCCTACCATTATTTTGACCTTCGATTTTCGATATATTCCCAATTGTTCAAATAGTTTCATTACAATAGTGTGGCCAAAGCTTATTGTCGAAAGCGTTATGCATTTTTAGTTTCTTATTCCTTGTTGTTATCCTTTGTTTTGGTTTTGTAAAAATATTCTCGTTACTCGTTGCTGTTTATTATTAATAATAAATAATTGTTTGTTAATTTTTGCAAGTCAAAATCAAGTCAAAGAGAGAAAAGAGACTACTTAAAGTGTAAAAGAGATCGAGTTTCGAGTTTAAAAACTTGTTTTTATGTTGTTGAAGAATCAATCCGCAGTAAGGCTATTTTCCATTTTCCTTGTTGGTGTGTTAGTGTTTCGGTTTTTGTAAGTTTTGTTTGGTTTAATGCCACGTTTTTCTTTTACTTTCCATTTTCAAAAATCAATATTTCATTTTGGTCTTTGCTTATAATATTAATCACTAAAAGTTATTCTTGTTTGTTGTATATATCTTCTTCGATAAATGTATATAAATTTCTTGTTTGTTTGTTCGGTTTTTGGCGTAACTTTTCTGTGAGCTTGGTTTATCCACATTTCTTGTTATTATTTAGTAAAGAAAATGTTTCAAAAATGTTTAACAAACAATTCAATAGACATTACGCGAAAATGATGCGGCATTTACTTATATAATGTATACATGTGTATGTATATAAATCAATTGTAAAATATATGTATATATATAATATTTTTATATATATTTTTTTTTCTTTTTTTAATGTTATTCGCTTGTATGCTTGTATTTAGTTTGTTGTATAATTTAATATTGCATTTGGTTTCGTTGAACGTCTGGACAATTGTTTATCATTTCGCCGTCGATCGTCGTCGGTTAAACTTCCGATTTTGCATCTACTTAGTGTCATAGAGATTACAACTAGATTGGTATATATATTTATATATATGTATATATATGTGTGTACGTATTTAAATATGAGTGTTTCTCTTCTTGTTCGTGTCGCAAGGAATTTCGGTTCGCCCTGCAAAGTATGCTACGGAAATACACTGATGAGCTCAAAGCATACGCGACTAAGGATCGATATCCTTAAGCTCACTTCCGCTTGTATCTATTTACCACACACACACATAATATAAATACTTCCTATTATTTTCAAGTGCTTTGACGAAAAGTTCACTTTCCTCTTTTACTATTTACAAAAAATTTTGATTTCAGTACCTGATTGCAATGGTTTTTGTTTATTTTTTTTATTAAAAAAATACAGACACTTGTAATTGTTGTTGCTTACTTTAAACATTATATGAAGTACATGAATTATTTTCATCTAATTTTATAAATATATGCATGTATATTTAGTCCTTAATTTGTGTTTGGTTTGAGTACGAAAAGGCTTTCAAAAATTCTACCGGACATATATAACTCTTCTACCTCTCACTACTTTCCTTGCCTTCTGCTTGTAAACTTTAATATGTAAATACACACAATTAGCTAAGGTTTTATTAAGCTGACCGCAGTCCAGTGTGATCCTTTTTAGCAGAGATCCTTAGCACGATTATGCATGCTGCTGATCCTGTGGCCAGCTTTATGTTAAATATTTTATTTCGACCGCTACACTTTACGTAAGTTATGTAAGTGGAACCCAATGAGCAAAGTATGTAAAACATCGCCATCATATCCTTGAAAGTGTCTTACGTCGCGTATACACTACCCTTGCTTTCTTTCTTTCTTATTTGTTGTTTGTTTGTTTGCTTTTTGTAACACTACAATTCAATTTAATGTGGTTATTGTTGTAAATATATAGACAATATATATATATATATATAGTTCATATGTGTTTTACCATTACGATCATTGGTTAGATGCAAGTGCCATAGGGTTCACGAATCGAATTCCTACCGAGCGAGCGTGTGTACCATGTGTGTATATGGTGAGTGTGACCGATAAAGAAAAATGGAATAACTATGGGAAATTGGTCTAATTTTTATATGGCTTTTTTCAATCACAACCATTTAAAGAAGATGGAGGGAGGAAGAAAGCGAACCGATATTCCTAAAAAGCTGAATGCTACCAAAAAAAATATTAAAGATAACCGAAATATATATTTCGAGAATCCGCTCCAGATTCCGTTCGAGTTTTAGCTTGTCGTGCAGACTAAATAATCAAATCGGATTCGGAAAAGCACCTTTTTGTTAATATTTAGTGTGTTACTCCTCTTCCTATATTATCCCTGAATCTGAATAAAAAGGAAAATAGTGGAAGTTTTGAGCGCTTTTTTTATACGTAATATCCATTTTCTTTCTAGATTTCTGGCAAGGATTCTCTTGAGTGTTCTTTCTGCGGATTTACTTTTGCTGATAGATAGTTATTATTTAATTATTTTATGTATATGTATGTCGATTTCGATTTCGAGAGTTAGTCAATTGCTGTTTTATATTGCATCCATATTTTAGTTTTGTGTAAAGTAAAATAAAACTCAAGCTTTTGTTCTCAAGGTTCAGGTAATCAATTTCTAGTCTTATCTGTTGCACTGAGTAGTCTGCGTTTTTCCACATTTTCATTTGTTTGTCTTCTTGTTATTAATATTTGTTAAAGGTTCATATTATATAGATGTATATATATATATATATATAGTTCATATGTAGTAGCAATTGGAAATAAGGAGCATGATCAAAACAGATGATACTTATATAGGTAGTAATGTCCTCGGATGCATAAAGTTGAGTTGCTGCAAACTATATGTATATAGTATAAGGTTCTTAAGTACAGTTAGTTAGTTAGTTAGTTGTTCCAGTTTC